GGAAGGTAGAGTCACAATGGACTCATCAGCATTATTGCACTGGAGAGATGACAGCATGTCACGGTTTAGACAATTAAGACTTCTACCGTCAACAACCAACAGACTTAATGAGAAATGGCATGATCCAGTTTTTCAATCAAAGTCAAGTTTTCTGAAGCAACAAAAACCTAGAACATTTCACTCTCTTAGCTTTCCTTGAAAGTGCATAACTATTGACTAAAGTTTTCTGACCCATTTCAATTTGTTGCCACCTACTGTACAGCATACCGGTACATGTAACACACCCATTCGCTCTAAGTGCTCATATCATTGCAGCCCATCCATGTGCTGGGCATCTCTAAATTTGTCACTTTGTCAGTGATAAATTCTTCCTCTTAATCTGACTTGTTGACCAACAGCATACCACCGAGCCTTTGGCAGTATGCACTTGCAGTCTTCCAATTCATGCGATAATCTGTGAACTTGTAGCAAGATGAGCCATTTTCTATCCAACCTGATTTGCAAAATGGCATTAACATCAGCACGAAACAATAACCAAATAATGACAGCAACAAGAGCTGTCTTTGGGCGAAGGAGTTCTAAAAATGCCCCCATCTTCAGTGTTGTTATCACAGCATGGCTCTGAGCATCCCTCCACCCGCATGCCCATGGAACCGGGTGCAATCGCACACTGTGCTCAACTGATGCGTGTCTCTTGTTTGCAGTATGTACATGCCATACCCAGTGGCACACCCAAGGGGGGGGGGCCTTGGGGCTGGGGAGGGGGGCTTGAGCCCCCCCCCCCCCCCCCAAGATGTTGTCAATTATTTTATTTTTGTAATTTGTTTGTATTTTTTTTTATTGTCACACTATTTGACCTTGGTGATATGCCTGTGGCCTATTTTCGAGTAGTATAATAGGGGTGTAAGTGGCGCCACCAACATCAAACGCCAAAATAAAACCCTTTTTTTTTTGGCCAAAAATGTTGGGCAATTAGCACCCCCCAAGCCAAATCCTGGGTGTGCCACTGGCCTTGCCAAGCTTTGGAAATTTAATATCGTCTATAACTTCCCATTAATAACACTGACAGGTGCATCAACAACCACTCATCATTTGAGACTGAGAGACCCAGTTACACATGTGAAGCCTGTCATAGTTTCAACATATTCAATTTATCAAGTCAATAAACTGCCAACTGACTTGATGAAAAATGGCGTGATCCAGTTTTTCAGTCAAAGTCAAGTTTGCTGAAGCTACAACAATCTGAAGCCAAAAAAAAAAATTCACTGTGTTCAAGTAATTTTTCCTTTCTCTCTCTCTCTCTCATTTAGGTGGACTGGTTCATTCTTGGCCACAACATTTACTTTTCCATTTCCAACTCCTGTTCTCCGCAAATAGTATGATTTCACACAACAGTGCTGATGTACTTGTATGTTGCCAGCTGCAGGATTTCATTTGAATCTTATTTTGATGGCATGAGATGACGTTCGTTCTGTTGCTCAATGACTCAACAGTGTTCATAATGATGTAAAAACCTGATTTCTGCTCCCATCAGAGAGGAACCATCATCACTCAGAATCCAAACTCTATGAATCCAGCCCGATCCCACAGAACAAAAAAAAAAATGTGTGTTCTTCTTCTTCCTTACAAGTACAGACTTCATGGTTGAAGATAAACGCATTGTTTCTACATGAAGGCTTGTGGGAGGTTTAAGGGTGAATGCGGCCATCAGAAGCCAGAGTGTAGCAGGTCGTGGTAGAAACTCTTCCAGTGCTTTTCTTGCATACAGTGTACATGTTCTTATTCTTGCAACCTCTGTCCTTCCACTTGCCATCCTCCATTTTTATCGTTGCACAATCCTGATTGCGTATGTTGTTTGGTCGATTTGCTGCCCAGTTCTCATACTTCATTCTCTTGCCACCTACAGCATAACACACCCATTCACCCTCGGTGCTTTCATCATTACAGCCCAGCCAGGTGTTGCGCATCTTTAAATTGTTCACTTTGTGAGTGATAAATTCATTCTCTTCATCTGACTCAATGACCAACAGCATACCACCCAGCCTTTGGCAGTATGCACTTGCATTCTTCCAATTCATGCGATAATCTGTGAACTTGTAGCACGATGAGCCATGTTCTACCCAACCTGGTTTGCAAGTGGCGTTGACACCTGTGATAACAATCATTAGAACTGCAACAGTTTGTTTAAGGTTGTTTAGTTCAGTTAACGATATCATTTTCGTTCTGTCATAAATGCAGTGAATGTATAAGGTTTTTTTCCAAACTTTCAAAAAGTTGAATGGGATAGAATGCACTTCTATTTCACTTCAAAGCAAAACTGAAGTACAGAGAGTTGCACAGATAGAGAACCCATCTTCAAGATGAACCACAAGATAAAACCGATGTGGTGTTTATAAGAACAAGGAACTGTCCAGGTATCAGGTCAAGAGGTGTGGATGCAGACACTGCTGTGGAAATCAGTTAGATCAACACCATGAAGAGCAGCAAGGAATCATCCAGAGCTCAACAAGAAAACAAAGACACTTGAGAAGATGCTGTGACCATGACTGGACCACTAGATGAACAAGCAACTTGTGGACATCGGCATCAGGAGGAGTGAGCTTGTGATGCAATAGAAAGGCTCTCGGTCAAATGATAAAGGAAGGCAATTTTGAATCCAAGCAAGCAGTAATATCAAGCATTTAGCAAAACAGTGATAAACACAAAGCAACACACAAGACAGCCAGAATGAAAACAGTAGCAGAAATTTAATATCTTGTCTACGACAACAGCAATTTGGGTAGAAGCACGATTGATACTGCCTCACTAATTGAGAGAGAAAAAAGCTTGAGAACATATTGAGAATGAACCTTGTTTTCGGTCTATAATAACCACAATGAGACATGAAGATGAAAACTGCCTCAAAGCTTAAATGGGCAATAACAACAAATGAAAACTGCTGCGGCGGTGAAAACCTTGCCTCCCAGTCTAATATAAACATCAAAATATCAATACCAACAATTGCTGGAAATTGGAACAAGTCAGTCTGTTGAGACGTTCTAACAATACTGAATGTTAATGAAAACCTTGCCTTGCCTCCAATATCAGTGTATGAAATAATGAAAACTGCCTCACTTTTGACTAGTACATGTAACTGTCCATATTGGTAATAACACAAACCTGCCTTTTGGTAATCAAGATATCAAAATACAACCATTTAGTAGCCAAATTCATAAACTACATGTACATGTACATGTACATGTACATCAAAGGAACATAGGATCAGCATTTTGTTTTTCTGGAGCAACAAAATTACTCAAAAATGTAATAAAGGTTCCAACAAAAAATAAAAACCCAGTCGAAGTATCAGCTCAGTGGCTACTATAGAAAATGTGTGCACACTTGTCTTAATTGGATTCCATTGCTAGCATTTCCAATTTAAAGCTATAGTCCATCATTTGCTTCTATCCAAAAAGTGACTGACGTAATTATTGTTGAAAAACATACTTGGTTGAAAGATAGTAAGGGAACTAAACTCCCTGTGAAATTATTCTTTCTGGCATGCTGTCATTTTGAAGAAATCAACGAAAGAAGGCCTTTCCAATGGTGCGTCTTAAGAAGCACCGTTGGAAATTTCCGTTAGTAGTTCGTTTTTTTTATACAGCGAAGAGCGCGCAAGCGTTGACACGAAGCACACGCGCACGCGCCCTCTATAATTCATCGGATCAGTGCGCGACATCGCGTAGCTACAATCGGTTAGTGAGAACGTGTCTCGGACGCTGAATTCAGGCCCAATTCAAAACAATGATTCAGCAACTTTTGATTTAAAATCGAGATCTTAGAATGTTGTTTTTCTAAAAAAATACAGCTGAAGCTTAGCTGAAACTTCATCAGCTTAGTTGTTTATCACCCTTCTTTAGATTTTGAGAACGTTTGTTGCTTTAAACGAACAAAATGCACAAATTACAAATGATGGACTATACCTTCAAAGGTTGATGTTACATCATTTTGTTGATCCAGGAAGGGCAGTCTTGTCTCTGTTTGGACCCTTTCTGACTGGCTGACTGATTGATGACTGTCTGACTTACTGACTGACTGACTCCCCGACTGACTGTCACGTGAGAGCTTGGCAGTGCTATTGTATAGGGTTCCCCAAAATGGGCTGAATGCAGCCCATCGTGTAGGCCAGTGTAGGCTTTGCCTTGCTTGCCTACTTCTTGGGAGAATGTTGCTTCTTGTGGCGATTCGCCTTTAAAGGGAATGTACAACATTTGCTTTTGCTGCAATTTCAGAAATAAATGGATTTGGAGGATTAATATGTTATAGCAAATATTGTTAAACTGACTTGTTTCACGTTTTGGGCTTGGTAGATGCTGGAAAAACCAAGAAAACCAATCATGTTCTTGTAGTCTTGTTCCCCGACCCCACTTAAGATGAAACAGAGAAATGTATAGACTTTGGGAAATTGTAAGGCCAGAGAATCAGCCTGGCAGGCTTGTACCCCTTCACAGGTGTGTAATCAATTGCAAAGAAAATGCGGAACAACTTTTATGAAAACTTAGGAGCGGTTATTGAAAAAAAACCAGTTTTCTCCAATGCTGGTCGGCCGACCAGCGTTGGCAAAATACAAATTTTCTGGAAAATGTCACCACAGCCTGAGACACGATTTTACAGGATGCTTTAGACTGTCATTTCCTAACAAACCAGTAAGGTATTTCTTAATAGTTTGATCATTTCGTTTTTTGATGTGTGCAAATGTTGTATCTTCCCTTTAAAGCATGGACAACTGAACACACACGCACACACCCATTGTGCTTTATGGCATAGCAGCGAAGCAGTGATTCTTCATTCGGGTCAAATGCAAAGCAAATTTGATGAAAGTACAAAACAGGCTGCACAGTTTGCCAGAGTGGACATGTGAGCTTGCATATGACTTCACAAATTTCAGTTCAAGCGTGCATTCTCGGCCCATTCAAAATGCAAACAAATTATCGTCAGTGTATAATTTTATTTCTCCACAGCTCCATTGGAAGCAAGTTATCAATTGCTGAAGAAAAAGACCTCTGTACTGCTGGCGTCCAGGTTAACAATGTTGACTTTGAGAATGCCCTCAATCAGCTACAAGCAGCACATGCAGACGCCATAGGGGCACCTAAGGTATGGGTTTATTTGTGAACCGTTTGTATTCCATATCTATTTCATTTCATTAATGTAGACTCTCATGGCCAGCAGGACGCGTTGCAGCTAAATGCACAATTTAAATGGAAACCTCATTATTGACGGTGATCAAATTTAGTTTACCTCGTACATACTCAGTAACCAGAGCCTAATTCTTACCGGCCCATTCACTATCGCATGTCAGTCGCCACTTTTGCGTTTACCAATTGCACACAAGAGGATCCACGCACAAGGTACATGTTAATACGCATACACAGTTGACTATCGCATGGGTTACCCCTGCGATAGTCTACTCAAATAGTCCAAATCCTTTGCACAAGTCTGAGTCCAGTATACTTGGCATTTTGATATAAGATTTTGTCCAAAGTCTCATTTTTTTTACCACGATCAGAAGCCCAAGTGTTCAAAGAAAACAAATCTCTTGCTTACATGTACTTCCTTCTACTGCAGGTTGACCAGGCCAATCCGGCCCGAAATATTATAGATATAGACCGAATCCCAACCGAAATCGATATGAACTCCCTAAAACTGACCCGACCCAACAGAAATTCAAGGAAAACCGACCCGACCCAACCCAAACCGAACTGAACCAAAAAAACCCCTGAATATCTGTCTTGGGCAACTGTGTCTGCTTTTTGTGCCTGAACTTACCCAAAATTGCGTGAAAATCGTCGTCTCTCAGAAACTGAAACATACTGTACGGCACTTGCAACGTGACTGGTGGGCCTACATGTACATGTTATAGACCATGCGTGGTATACTGCAAACCATTTTGGTCGTACCGGGTACAGTGACTCTGCAATAAATATTGCATCGTGTGAATTTCTAAAATGTTTGGGGTTTTTTTTTTCAGTTTATTTCGGTTTATTTCAAGTTTTTCCAAATTGGCCTAACCGACCCGACCCGACCCGACCCAACCCAAAAATTGCATATGCAAAACCAAAACTGACCCTACCCTACTGAAATGATGGACAGACCGACCTGAACTGACCCGAAGTCGGTTCGGGTCAGGTCGGTTTCGGTTTCAGGTTTGCACAACACTAGTCCGCATGTCTCATTTTTTTGTCCACAGATTCCCAATGTATCGTGGGAAGACATTGGGGGCCTGGTGGAGGTCCGCGCCCAAATCCTGGACACCATCCAGCTGCCCTTGCAACACCCGGAGCTGTTTTCAGCCGGACTGCGCCGCTCGGGCGTCTTGCTGTATGGCCCGCCCGGCACGGGCAAGACACTACTGGCTAAGGCTGTAGCTACTGAATGCTCACTGAACTTCTTGAGGTTGGTTTGGAAATCAAAGCCTGTGTCTTAACTTCACGTTTTGGGGTATGGCTGGTAGTATTACACCATGACTATGGGAGTTAGCTTCAGTCACCTCCATCAGTACATGTGTAATTGCAAGCCATGGCCTAATTGTCTGTGATATTTTCGCAAAAAAATTCAGGTCAAGCAATGGCATAAATAAGGGGCGGGGGGGGGGGGGGGGGGGGGGGCAAGTCTTATGCATTTGCAGCCTAATTCTAAGCCTTGTGGATGTTACTTAGCAGACCTCCTTACAAGCAATCAATATATCTGGGTGCCATAGATGGCAGATACAGACGTCGGCGACAACCAGACACTTGATCGTCTCTGTTCGTATATCTCGAGATGGTGGCCAGCGCATTAACTCCAATAGTTCGTGTCATCCAGGTCAGAGGTGTGCAATGCTGTTGGCCCCGTGCTCACCTCCATGCAATCTTTCCCGTCAAGGCGAGATGTTCCAATTGACATTTTCATTGAAGGTTTTCCCACATGACCAAGAAAGCGCACTTGCCGCGTCAGAATGGTTTCCATTAGCTTCCTGTTTGTCAGAGATGAAACTGGCATATGGCAAAAAAATCGGAAAATACGTCGAACAAAAATACGTGTCCGAAATCTGGGCCGCGCTGCAGTTACACACATGTACATGCATGTACAATACACTTCATGCCCAATTTCCGGACACCAACTCCAGCTTAATTATTTTCGATTCAAACAAAATTTTACGATGAAAAAAATTTCAAAAAGTCGGATTTCCGATTAAAATCGGAAAAGTTTCATCTCTGTGTTTGTGTGGGCACGTTCCAGAACTGCCTCATTTCGGGCTTTCTCCACACACGAAATTTGCAGCATTCCCTCCAGAAACCACGGTATGCAACTCCCACTCATTTCTGGTCATTAAACAAGATCTATCTTCTGTTAAATAACCTGCTACTGCAAATGGTCGTGCAGAGGACAAGTTGTATACTGCATTTGACACGGCAACACAGCAACTGCACCTCAATTTGGTGACCTGCAAGACCTGGCAATTGCATCAGAATGAAGCGTCAGCTCCCAACAGCAACGAAGCCATCTTCCAACTATTTTACATGAACTCAGTGACTTGGCAACCTACCGCAGCCATCTTAACCAACTTAGGCTATCAGCTTCGGTCCAAAAATTGGGCCACCGGTATCAAATGATCGAAAGAGCAATGTTCATAGTGATTTTTGGCAAGGTATGCACATCTAGATTTGGAAAATGTGTGATGGCTTTGTAGTGTAAGTGGTGGCAGCATTTGAGTGTTATCACTTTAAAAAAATTTTTTCAAAATGGCCGCCAATATGCTTGAACCGGATTACTTATATATGGTAACAAGCATGTTTTGGCTGCCATTTTTGTTTTACCACTGAGCTTGACAGGGTCGGCTGGCTGGTTCAAATCAGATATAGCCGCAGTAAGCACAATGAAACTATTCATTGTGTGGTTTTTTTTTTTCACGTGGGTGGTACTCGAACCCACGACCTCCTGCTTACTAGCACAGAGGTTTTACCACTGAGCTTGACAGGGTTGGCTGGCTGGTTCAAATCAGATATAGCCGGTTTAGCACAATGAAACTATTCATTGTGTGCTTTTTTTCAACCGGGATATGCATGAGTAGACCTCTGGTGCATTCATTGTTAATTCATAAATACCTCAGACAGTTTAGCCATTCCTATTGGTCGAGAGCCCGTCACGTGGCTGGTCTTAAACAGATGATAAAGACATGGCTAGCTGGTCTTAAACACTTTTCCAGTGTCACAATAAAACGTTCATTGGTTGAACGTTCACAATCCTCACGTAGGCATGCGCAACACTACCAGTGAGTCCGAATTTTATAGTTCTAATTTCAAAACGTAACGCCCCAGGTGCGTTCTGCGCGACATCGCGCAGAACATGCTACGCGCGCGTCAATCTCCATAAAAGGGTTGTTTACATCTTAATCGCCAGCTGAACACTCCATTATTTTGCTATAGGGATGTTTCAAAAAGCTGGAGTGAACTTGTTGATCAAAATCGGGATGTTTTGAACGAATTACTTGATGTTTTTTTTACTGAAAAGGTATTTATTAATGGGAATAAATATGTGCTCAGTCGGTATTAATCACTCTGTTTAAGACTGCTTAGAGTCTGGGTGCTGATAATTACCCTCGCCTCCGGCTCGGGTAATTATCAGCACCCAGACTCTAAGCAGTCTTAAACAGAGTGATTAAAACCTCTCGAGCACACATTTATTCCCTTATTAATGTACATAGCAAAACACACATCAAAGATGGCTGTTGAATGCAGGCAATCTTCAGGGTTTGCAATTGCACTTGTTCAAATCCCAACATTTCATCTTGAAGGATTACTTTTTTGTGACAAGAAGCTTTTCTTCACAAACGTCACTGGAAAAAACGATGTAGTTGGATGGGAAAAAAATTGGGATGTGAAATACTGACACTGATGGCGGAGGGTAAATCAAGCACAAAAACTGCTCAGACGAATTGGACTACATACATTGAGGAACAATCAATGTGAACAGAAACAGACATGTACAGGGGGTCAGATGTCTTACCTAAATTTAAAGTGCACTACTGTACTTACAGTACAAAAGTTCACCCTGTGGGATGGTCACTCTTGTTTCCATTTATATTTTGGATTATTTCTTTTATTATTTATTTCTCAGTGTAAAAGGCCCAGAACTGATCAACATGTATGTAGGACAAAGTGAAGAAAATGTGAGAGAGGGTAAGTAATTTTTGCTTTTTCTTTTATACTCCATTCTGGTGGCACTATAGTGGCTCGTTTTAAATCAAATCAGTATTTTTTTTTTTGTCTGAGGTTGCACAGATTGCATGTATACTGTCTTCAGTGTCATTTGTAAATGTCTGTCTGTTCTTCTTCCTCGTTTTTTGTTGTCTGTTGGCTGTTCTTGTATATCTCACAGAGTATAAAATAAATTTGATAAAGAATTGAATCAATGAAAGCATTGATTACAGTTTTATGGAATTTTCTTGAAAATAAGCTCCTCTAAACAGTCTTTGAAAACATTCTTTGAAAGCAAATTTGAAAGTTGTTTCACACAGGTAACAATTCATCATAATGCAGTTATTTTATAAATACAAAGTAGGACATAATGAAAAACAATAGTTTGTTTGTCTAACACAATTTGTGTTCCAAAACTTTCTATTATGTTCAAATAACAAAGTTAAGTTTTTGCATTTCCCTCTCCACTCCAACAAGAATGACAATAAAGTTTGTTTGTCAGATAAGCTATTGGTTATTCACCCCAACTACCCCCTCCCTCAATCCACTCTAGGCGCGGTAAGACAATTACAGCACATCTGCAATTCCACCCAATTTTTGTTTCGTTTAAAACATTTTGAAAAGTTAATGTTTCTCTTTTTTTATGTGGAGCATTAGGTCTAATGCAGCTATTCTAATGAGTCCTATCAACAACCACCAAGTATGAAATCGACACGTTTAAAATATTTTGAAAATGTAATGTTTCTCTTGTGATGTGGAGCATTTAATGCAGCTATCCTAATACCACAAGTATGAAATTGACGAAGTGGGCAATTAGGCCTAATTACATTTACTTTATTGTACATCCCAAATTATTTTGTGTTAGTGTATTTTTCCACCACTTTGGCCTCGTCTGATATTAAGATTTGTGTGAAGCATTAGGTCTAATGTGAGGCGATTCTAATAAGTCATAAGTATGAAATTGACAAAGTGGGCAATGCGACTTCATTTTCTTCACATCTCACATTTTGTGTTGGTGTATTTTTCCACTTCTTTATCTTCATCTGATATTAAGATTTATGTGAAGCATTAGGTCTAATGCAGCTATAATGAGTCAGTTAAACAAAAAACAAGCATGCAATGGACAAAGTGGGCAATGTGCCTTCATTATATCCCAAATTATTTTGTGTTAGTGTATTTTTCCACCACTTTGGCCTCGTCTGATATTAAGATTTGTGTAAAGCATTAAGTCTAATGTGCAGCGATTCTAATAAGTCATAAGTATGAAATTGACAAAGTGGGCCCATGCGCCTTCATTACCTAACATCCCACATTATTTTGTGTTAGTGTATTTTTCCACAACGTTATACTCATCTGATATTAAGATTTATGTGAAGCATTAGGTCTAATGCGGCTATTTTAACGAGTCAGTTAAACAAAAACCAAGCATGCAATCATCACAGTGGGCAATGTGCCTTCATTATATCACATCCCACATTATGTTGTGTAAGTGTTTTTTTTCCACAACGTTCTCCTCATCTGATATTAAGATTTATGTAAAGCATTAGGTCTAATGCGGCTATTTTAATGAGTCAGTTAACCAAAAACCAAGCATGCAATCATCACATAGGCAATGTGCCTTCATTATATCACACCCCACATTATGTTGTGTAAGTGTATTTTTCCACGACATTATCCTCATTTGATATTAAGATTTATGTGAAGCATTAGGTCTAATGCAGCTAAAATGAGTCAGTTAAACAAAACCCAAGCATGCAATCGACAAAGTGGGCAAAGTGCCTTCATTACGTCACATCCCACATTTTGTGTTAGTGTGTTTTTCCACGACGTTATCCTCATTTGATATTAAGATTTATGTGAAGCATTAGGTCTAATGCGGCTTTTTAATGAGTCAGTTAAACAAAAACCAAGCATGCAATCATCAAAGTGGGCAATGCGCCTTCATTACCTCACAATCTCACATTATTTTGTGTTAGTGTATATTTCCACGACGTTATCCTCATTTGATATTAAGATTTATGTGAAGCATTAGGTCCAATGCAGCTCAAATGAGTCAGTTAAACAAAAAACAAGCATGCAATGGACAAAGTGGGCCTTGCGCCTTCATTACCTAACATCCCCCATTATTTTGTGTAAGTGTAGTTTTCCATGACGTTATCCTCATCTGATATTAAGATTAATGTGAAGCATTAGGTCCAACGCAGTTATTCTAACGAGTCAGTTAAACAACCATGACATCGACAAAGTGGTTAATTATAATGCAGTAACGTTAGTTTTTATTTGCGTTGGTGTATTTTCCACAACTTTTGCCGCATTTGAAATTAAGATTGAATGCATGGGATATTTAGATTGATTGTGAGTGGGCAACGACAGTCTCACATCAGTTGTAATCCGTTCATCCTTAATTTGTCTGGTGGTTGGGCCCATAAACACTCTTGTAACTATTATTTTCAGTATGAACTGTTATCCAAAGGCGTAGTTCAAAGACCTCGAAGTGCAAACATTGCATCCTGAATCTTACCCGTATGCTGATTTTAATAACACAGATGTTGTATTATTTTTGAGAAATTCAGTACTCCAAAGATCTCTGGCAGAAATGTCAGGAGATATTGGATATGATGGTTATGTAACTAAATTTTTGGGGAAAAAATGGTTTGAAGATTAATCAAAACAGTAAGAATGAAGTTCAGTACATGTATGTACAATTCATAATAATCACTGCCCGCTGCAGCTGGTGTGACACCGTATAGTTCTGACTGTTATCATTGTGGCCCCTTGTAAAAATTACCACTACAGTATTGCAAAAAAAAAGTGTTGTCTCATAGTCGTAATAAAAAAAAAACCTGAGCAAAAGGTAATATGTACGGTTACTTGCATGCCACAGTTGTGACAGTTTGTTTGAAAAACAAATCTCAGTACAGCACTAAATAAAGACAAAACAGTAGTGCAGTGTATTTTCGAATAATTTGGTATTTGATTATTTTAACTTGTACTTGATCGAATATTCAAAATGCACCAACCTGACTGACTGCCGATTGGGGTTTGGGTGCAACTGTGCTTGCCGAATGTTTACAAAGAACTTTTTCAAATTATACAAAGAACATCATGTACATGTATGTATCGATATATTTTTCCGAGGTAGCAGATTGGCTGATATTTGACAGATTTTAAAGATGAACTTTGAGCTTAATTTCTCACAGAAGCTGTCAAATCATGTGTGTATTGTAGTATATTTGACGAATAATAAAGCCATCGTGGACACTTTTCATCTCCACAAGACCGCTCACAGTTTTTGAATATTTGAATAAAAAAAACTGTTCAGATATTTGGCGGATGATCGAATATTTAAACATTCAATATATTCGGCACAGCCCTACATGACACAGTGTGAAATTATGGTTAGAGGTCAAACAGTCCCAAAAGTTTACCATATTAATGTGTCCCATAAACGGGTGTGCTAAGTCTGCAGATTAAAGTTTGTAGAAAACAAATATGACACTCTGCATGTGTTGACTCAAATTAATTTCGCAACTTGTTTTATTTTTATTTTTATTTTATTTTTTTTTTTTTTTTTTTTTTTTTTTTTTTGGGGGGGGAGGGGTTTCCACCCCTCTGAGCATATTAACAAACTGGTTATATAATGTACAGGTACATGTACATGCATGATTATTAAGCTTTGACTGTGATATGTGCTTCTCGTTAATCGTTATGCATGTTCATTGAATCAAATTATTTATCTCCAGTGTTTGTGAGAGCAAGGAGTGCCTCGCCTTGTGTCATCTTCTTTGACGAGTTGGATTCCTTGGCTCCCAACAGGGGTCGGAGTGGGGACTCAGGTGGAGTCATGGACAGGTATGGAAGAGGCTCTCCATTTCCAAATCTTAGTTTTGTTTCCAGGAGCTTTCAGGCTCCTGACTTGGCAGACTGCAGCTCTAAACAGGTCCAAGTTTCTCCTTCAGGAACATTGAATCCTGTAACACGAGGCTAAGGTTGTGAATAGTTCCATGTTTGTTTTTTATCAAAGGATTGAGGTTTGACAAGCTGAGGTTTGAAAAGAAAGGTCCTTGTCTCGACCCAGATACATGTACATTTGTACATGTACTTTCATTCAACCTAAAAATGATTCTTAAGCTTGAGCAAACCTGAGGTTTGAAGAAAAAAGGTCCTTGTGTTGACCCAGATACGTGTTCGTGTACTTTCATTCAACTTAAAAATTAAAAGCACTAAATTTTTCCTGTAGGATATTTTGGGGGTTTCCCTTCAACCTGTGACAATGGCAAGAAAGCCTATTGTGACATCCTCAATTGCATTTTAGCAGAATAATGGCAGTGGCCATGGTAACAGATGTACAAATACTTGAAGGTGGCCAGTTTAACAAAGTATTAATAATAACAAAAAAAGTAGGAAAGTGAAGTAAAAAAAATCAGAAGCCAGAAATGTAAATTGAGAATGGCTATATAAGTTTTAATCTGGTCAAGATATAGTGATTTATACAGTCTTCCTTTTTATCAAAATCTGGTTAGGGGTTCTTTAGGCCAAACAAAAAAGTCTCTGGTTTCTGGTATTAGCGTGCGTATAGCCATGCGCGTCGGCAAAATGAAAAGGTTTTTTTTTTCAGTGTAAGATGATGTCTCAAAACCGCCAAACTCACTGGTTTGACTGGAATCCTGCTACTGCACAATTTTAACGTGTTTTTAGATGGGGTTATGATCGAGTATAAGCTTTATGCGGCCTTTCTGGACTCCCACACACATGTATTTTGCACTAAATTTAGTCTGGCACCATTTGCAGTCATCAGCCGACATTTGAAGGAGAAAGAAAAGAAGAAAAAAAAGCTGTTTCGCCGCAATACTTTTAGGGCAAGCTCCATACCAGAAACCGGAGACTTGGTTTTTTTTTGGCCTTAGCTTTGCTTTTTCAGAACTTGCCCCATATTTTGTTTCTTCAAATATGCATTATATTCAGAACACAAATTGCATACTTTGTTGCACAAGTGTTAGATTGACATCACTTTTAATGCTTATTGTGACCCCTTTTTAAAATTGTCATTACTCTTAACAGAGTTGTGTCACAGCTGTTAGCTGAGTTGGATGGCCTGCACAAGTCCACCGACGTCTTTGTGATTGGCGCCACCAATCGGCCAGACTTGCTGGATCCGGCCCTTCTCAGGCCAGGCAGGTTGGTTGGACATTGCTGTAAAGGGTGCCCGGGGGCTTCTTTTTTTCTGCAGCACACATCGTCAATGCCTGTGTGATAAATAATTGTTATACCCAAACATGATTGGTTCAATTATTTTTCCATTGACAAAGTGTGCTGGGGAAAAAAAAAAACTGCTCGGAGCCTATTTCACGCAGCTGCTCAGCAGGAAATAGTCTGGTTCCATCACCTGACAATCACCTGATTCAAAAATAGAGCACATTCAAAAATAGAGCATGACACAGAAAAGCCTTGCCCTTGTACATGGCTACGCCTCGGGGAACAGAAAGCTCCATGGATCACCTCGGGAGGCTAGTTGTACTACACTACTCGAAGCAGTCAATATACTTAGTTACTAGTATACAAATATTGAGTGGCTCAGCGTGGAATGGGAGGAATATTATTGCAAGGTAAAATCTGGACTTTTACTGGAAAAGTCCAAATTTTTCCGAGCAATAATATCATAGGCGTAGCCATCGGAGGGGGTAAGGGGGGTATTTAACCCCCCCCCCCTCCCCCAATATTTTGCAAAGACTGCCTTTTTCCATTCAAATGCCCTTTTTTCAACAGGCTTACCTCCCAATAATTTGTAAAAAGTGCCCTTTTTTTACGAAGTGCCCTTTTTTTCTGAACAAGTGCCCTATTAAAAAAAGAAGTGGTGCTCTTTTTTGTGGCATCTGCCGTTTTGGGTGCCTTTCTCAAAATTTCGCAAATGTATCGCCCTGAAAAGCACCATATATTGGCCCTTTGTGTGCATTATTGTCAGTTTTTAACAGCGCCCCCATCATTTCACAATGGATGTGCAAGTGCCCTTTTCAAACAATTTTACCCCCCCCCCCAATAAAAATGACCGTGCTACGCCCCTGAATATTACTCCCATTCCGCAATTTAAAGCGACTCAATATTTGTTTTATATAACTGACATATAGATCCTTGTCATTTGATATTTGAACTTTTATTTCAATACAAATTTGGTGGAAAATATATTTCTCTCTTCCAAACCACCCCTTTATGAAAGTGTTTGAACCAAACGCTGTAGCGCTGGCTCTTTGGAACAATACGCACTACGCGCAACGCTGAACGCGCACACCAGAATGCATTTGCACACAAATACCGCGTCAAGGCACAAGAATGATCCCAACTGTTCAATAGTATTTCCCATTCCCCATGACTTTTTGAGCCTGGCTTGAATGGGAGCAATAACGAATGTCATGTGATGTGAGTTCCACCAATCAAATGACAGGGATCTGTATGTCGGTTATATAATGAATACCATGTGACATGCTCTCAGCTAAGCAAGACAAAATCTGTACGCAAGGAGTTATAATTGTTGTTGTTATATTACACTTTGCTGGTACAGTATCAATCACATAATCCCTGGGGTGCGTAAGCAGATATAAAACCAATTACTGCAAGGATTTACCCTCGCCCACCACGTTGAGCTATCACTGCGTATATGTTATTTTCACTGTTGTTTATGTTGTGTGTCAGTAGGCAGAACTAATACCGCCTAAGATTTGTATTATATATTTATGGGTTCTTTATTCTATCTGAATATTAAAATAAACCGAAAATGAGTAAATGAATGGGGGAAAAAAAAAAAAAATGAATGAAGAATGTTCAGTTTCAAACTTTGTTTTATCCCTATATACCCATTGGTTTAAGTTATGGTTGCCTGAAAAAAACATTTAGCAACAGGCTTCAATTTTGATTGTTTTCTTTTTTCTTTTCCTTAAATGTTTTTCTTTAGTTTTGCCATGTTTTATCTGCCATCACAGGTTGTTATTTTTTCCTATTGCTTCTATTTACCCTGCAGATTTGACAAGCTGTTATACTTGGGAGTGAGCCAAGATCGCAGCTCCCAGGTCAAAATAATCCGAGCCCTGACAAGAAAGTGAGTAGATTTTGGATACATTTACATGCTTGTTTAGATTCATTTTATTCACATCACCTTTGAATTTAGATCAGTGTCAGACATTCGAGGACTGTTTATGTTAGGCAAAAAAAAAAAAAAATCGGTCTCTGGTCAGCGCGCGCGTCGATTTTAATCATGCGTGTCAATCTTTTTTTTTCTCCAAAATGTTCCGCGGTAGCTCCAACAGCGCCCTCTACTATTGCCGCACCTCCTCAATTTTTTTACCAAAGAGCACCAAGGAACAGGAAATTGCACCAAGGCAAATGATCGAAAGCACCAAGGCAAATTATGGAGGACACCAATGTACATGAGGACACCAAAAAAGCAAAATAGTACCCCACCTTGTCTGTACAATCCAAGCTTGAAGAAAAGAAAAAAAAGCCGCGTCGCCGCGTCAATTCCGGAACTTTGGTCTGACCAGAGACCGAATATTTTTTTTTTTTGGCCTTAAGCCCCCCAAATTAAATGTGAGGTTGTTTAATTGCTGTTTTCTTGGCTTTGATGAGGCCCGTAGAATGCAGTGCGTGGGATATTCCTCCCACATATGAAGCAACAACCGCCAAGTGTGCTCCTCTGAAATGAAGGTGCTTTTCCACTTGCTAATCTATTGAGAATGGATCAAAAATGATGCATCACTGATGAAATTTGCTTGGTTTAGTAGACATTTGTACTTGGTGAAATTCACCCATTAGGCCCTGCCCTGCCCTGCCTGTTACTCCTTAAAGGCATGTTCATGTAGGAAACGGACCTACTCATTTGATGAGAAAAACCTTGCTCGGAGTGAAGATAGAGAATGGAACCAAATATCCTGTGAAGATATTTTGCCTGACATGGTAACTTTTCAGAAGAAAACAGGCATCGAATGTGGTTTTTAAAAATAGTGTGCCCGCTGGCACATTTTGTTTGTTGCATACCTTGGCCATGGAATTCCCAATGTGGTTTTTCTGTTTTCTCGAAATGTATAATTGCTACTGAGCTAAATATCTTCCACAGATATGTTTCACCCTACTTAAGATTTAGAGCAATTTGTTGTTTCAAACCAAAACAAACCCACAAAAAGCAAATGATTCTACCCCTAAATTGCCCTAAACCTAAACCATCCAAGACTACATGTATAATAGTTTCATGGGTTAAATTCATAGTAATAAATACAATGTAATACAATGTACAATGTTATTTAAGTGCTAATAGGTTGAACAATGTTAATACATTAAAAGAGTTTGCACAAGGTATTGGCTGTTCTTTCCTCTCCCTGCTTGAAATACAATGTACAACATGTACCTGCAGTATGAGTGATCAGTACAGAAATATTGCCATTGGTGCCGCAAATCCTGCTTTACCCAAGTGCATCATGGGAAAAAGCCAACATCACCTCTGGAGACATTGCAAAACAGTATTTATTTGCAATATAAGGACTTCGCAGGTTTTGTGGGAATAAAAAAAATTATTCTGTAGCTGAAGTATTTTTGTAACAAGTCTTCAAGTTTGTGTTTGTGTGGTACCTCAGGTAGACGTTGAGGGACAAGAAATGATATCAGGACAAACACTTGTTGATGGTGCACTGTATTGTGAATTGATTGTGAAGGCAAAGAAAGTCAGAGCTGTAACTGCCTCAGTCACAAGTCAACCACGCATCAAACCACAATTCAGGTCACATGTAAAAGGGGTTGAAAGAATGACAGATGCCTTTGCCACATGTAATTTGAAAAGCCAATGCTTGACTTGAGACTTTGTGACAAGTGATTGACTTGTGATGACTTTTGATGACTTGACAACTGAAGAACATCCCTTGTCCCTTGTCCTACAGGCAGACAACCACAGTACTTGTGCTGTGTGGAATTTATTTGTTAATTCCTTCACTTGCTGTTTCAGGTTCACTCTTTCGGCGGACATCACACTGGAGTTGATTGCTGAGAACTGCCCCTTGACAATGACCGGCGCCGACTTCTACGCCTTGTGCTCGGACGCCATGTTGAATGCCGTCAAACGGAAAATTGACCAGCTTCAGTCAGGTTAGTAATTGGTAGTGGTACATACCAATCCAAGCAAGCTGTCACTGTAGTTCAGTGGCCCCTTAATTGCAGTGATGAAAGCATTGTGCTAGCTATTGTACAAAGCAACTGCCTCATGACGGTTTATCCAGACAATAGCCGGCACAATATTTTCGCCATTGAAGGGGGCCTCTTTGAGTGTATGGTAATGGTGTGCTTGGATTGGTTCTTAACATGGAACCAGGGGCGGCATTGAGGCTTTGGATTTTTGAGGCCCTGGAGCAAAAACCCACTGGCATCCCTGCTTTGTTTGCATGACGTTTCTTTTTAAATATCTTCCGGAAAAAATGAAAACAAGCATGTTGTTCATAAGATGGAATTTTTACGTCGGGTGATGTAAATCAAATTAGGTTTTGCCCTTCACCGCCGTATAAACACTGTATACTCAGTGTGTTATGGTACCTCCCGAGTGAAAGTTGGAAAAAATCACTCGGGTGGGACTCGAACCCACGACCTCCTGCTTTCTAGTGCAGATGTCTTACCACTCGACCACCGAGCTAACGGGATCGGTTGGCTGGTTCGAATCCGATGTGCATAGCAGCGGTACCCCATTAACACATTAACTATTCATAAGCATGTTGTTTTTCCCTTGATTTGCCAGTTTGCATGTAGTTGGGATTCATCTACATTTGAGCGCTTATAATTACTTAGTACAAAGTAAAGTAGCCAATATACATCGGGTATCTGTTAATGTTGGGATTTACAAAGCAGGAAAGAGAACAGTTAAATAAGGGTAATTTACCGGTACTTTTAGATATTTAGGGGAAACGAAGGTGTTAAGCTAGTGATACAAGAGTAGTATATGGAGTTGTCCTTCTGAATGGTTGGGATTCAATTTTGTGTGGAGAATTTCTGAAGTTGTGAGGGTCAAGGGTGGCTATATACAGGATAAAATAATCTCCAAAATTTCCACAGAAAGAGGAAAAAAAGAGTGTAACATGGATGTTTAAGTGACGGTACAATCCAATACATTACACTTGGAATTATGGTACAAATCAAATGGATGAATGTAGCGCGAGGAACAGGAACATTGTGAAACAAATACAGTGGCCAGCGTGGGCCAGCTGCACGATTGTTTTGGATTCAACTGATTGGCCTGGAGCAGATCAGCTATATCGGACCATAACCCAACTTTCACTCCTGCTGATCACATGCATCCACCATACAAAAAAAAGCGTCCCCTGAAAAACAATGTTGATCGCAAGCTCTTCCACACCCATTGCACAAGTGAGCGACGTTAGTGACACAGAAGCCGGAGGTTGTGGAGCCTAATCAGGACAAACATTTTACAGTGCTCAATGTAACTTATGCTTCATATCTAGTTTAAAAAAAGATGAATTATTTTTCAGAATTTGTGGTCCTAGTATTGTTAATGCTAATGTGTCAGGCTATGTCTTGCAAGTCTTGCACATGCACTTACATAAAATTTATACTGTCTTTAGTTTACGACAAATTTCAATTTAACTGTACTGTTTTCATTAAGAGAAATATTCAAGAGATAATGTGACCCTTTTGTCAAATTGGGTTTGATTGTTACAGGAGACTCTTCCGACGAAACCAGCGTGGTGGTTGAAGAGCAAGATTTTTTCTCGGCGTTGGAATCACTCGTTCCTTCAGTCTCGGAGCAGGAGCTCCTGCATTATCAGCAGCTGCAGGCCCAAATTAGCAGGGGATTCTAACGTTCTGGTACCAAAACAAAAAGGAAAACAGAATGCCTGCGCATGATGGCCTGACATAAATACATGTGTAGCAACTCAAGTGGACTTTTGGACCCTTGGTAGGCTATCAGCTTTGGTCAAAAAATTGGGCCACCGGTATCAAATGATCGAAAGGAGCAATATGCTTGTAGCGATTTTTGGCAAGGTATGCACATCTAGAGTTGGAAAATGTGTGATAGCTTTGCAGTGTGAGGGTGACAGTTTCTTGGGTGTTTTTTCCCTTCAAAATGGCCGGCAATATGCTTGTTGCCAGATTAATTATATGTGGTAACAAGCATGTTTTGGCTGCCATTTTTTAAAAGTGATAGCACCCAAACAGCTGCTACCGCTGCAGTGCTATCACATATTTTCCAACTACAGGGGTGCATACCTTGCCAAAAATCACAATGATCATTATTCCCCTCATTTGATACCGACCAAACCCCCAGGCTGATTGGCCTATGGCAGTTTCATAGAACTGCTATGGCATCATCTCATTAAATATCGGAATATTGAATCTTGCGGTTATCAGTAGTGTTGACCAATTGTATGATAACTTCACTGAGGAAGGATTCTGGGGAAGTTGCTCAGAATTTTGCAGCAAATACAGGGTGGTTAAAAAAAAAGGACACCCACATTTGACAGCAATTTTCACCTATTTTTAAAAATTATTTTTAACTGTCGATTAGTTTCTATTAAAGTACTGGCCTTTAAGCAAATGTGACGAAAAAATAATTGCATTTGCACATTTTTCGTTGAGCTACTCTAATTTGAACATTTCATGTGCGAAACCTGTTTGTCCACGGAGGTATATTCCCTTCACTTGACTGAGCTCAGCTATCGGAGCTTTATTTGAAAGTGCATGACATTTGATTGTAATGTTATGTAATGTTATGCAACAATGAACTTAAGCCGACAGCTCATTGAGTAGATGATCTTAACACTGACATGAATAATTGAACAGCTTCTGTAAAAGATATTAGGGCAAAATATATTTTGGTGGGAAGTTTTTTTAAAAGTGGGAAGTTTTTTAAGTAGGTGAAAATTGCTGTCAAATGTGGGTGTCATTTTTTTTTAACCACCCTGTACTTCATACAACGGGCCTATATTATGGTTAAGATGACTCCTACATGTAAGCACAAATATTTGCTAAGCACAGAACATTTATGGCTAGCAAAAGCCTCCCTGAAACAATGGACTTCTGAAGATTTTGACGAGGGAAGGAATCTTAAAGCACTAATTTCATGGACCTTCAAGGCACTTGTACCTCTAGAGCATTGAAGTTGATGTAAAAAAAAAAAAAGGTTAATTATCAGCCAAAATTTTAAGAGATGTATATTGCTTTAACCGTTCCTCTCCTTTTAATTTGAAGAATATAACATTGCGGGCAGAAATTTTGGCTGAGCAACTCAATGAAATCGGGTCATGTTGCATTGTGTCGTATTTATTTTGATTATGGTTTGAAAATTTGACTTTAATTAACCAATCAGCATTTCCAGTAGTCTGAATTGAAAATAATGTCCATGGAAACGTTTCCAGTAAATTACGGACTGAGAATGAAGTCCTTTCAAAGCAGATTGGACAGTTAGGAATTCAGAGGGATTTCCTCGAATCCTGTGCACAAAAAAATAAGTACATGTATGATACATTTGTAATGCTTCCTTCAAAATGTAGTATTTGATTATGTTATATTATCTGGAAATTAGAGGCACACCTCAGCTTAGTACCTGAGTCAATATATTGACTGAAGCAAACATACCTTTTATCATATGTAAATTTATCATTTCACTTCGTTTTGAAAATAATTTATTTGATTTCTTTTTCTTTTGTGATTAATTTTTGGGTAATTCTTAAAAAAAAAAAGTAATAATAAGCAATTGAAATAGCGTAACTGACTCTTTCATCACTCAGTCGCTGGCCTCCAAGCCATCTAGTCTACAGTCAGTTTTGAAATTTGTTTTGATGTCATCCGATCAGCCCGTCCATGTCTCCGAGCAGTGACTGCAAATATTTGAGGTAGGAGAGTTGGGACGACCTAGCCCTCGTGTCCTGTTGTGGTGCCATGTAGCTTAAACCTTTCAACATGCCTTCTTCCTTTTTATTTTACGTTTGGGGAATGACATTTTGGGACATTTAATATGTTTTGGGTTCTTTCTTAATATTCTTTTAGTTTGGAGCAGTAATAAATATAATAATCATTTCAGCATATTTAATTCATGCTATGTACAGTGGCTAGCGGTAGCATGAATTGGCATCCCCAAAGGCCTTACATATGCCACCACTCCCCCCCCCCCTCCCCATTTCATATTTTGGATAAGACCAACATTTAGAGTTTTATTGATAACCCATTAATATTGCCCGCCCCAAACAAATGGGCCCCAAAACGCCATTAAAACCCATAATTGTTAAGATGCTCAGTACAATTTCCTCTTAAAAGGACATCAATTGCTATAGGGCCTATACGGCGTTTCTAAATGTGGCTGTTTGGTCGTCGACATTTCAATTGTGCATGACATTTTGATAGACAGGGGTTTTTTTTGAGCTGGTGTTGCACTAAACAAAACTGGTGCGATCACGGACCATGCGATACTATGACTACAATGGAGACGCTCTCCGAAGTGGACAGTATTCATTTTGTTTCCGTTCGTGGTTTCCGTGGTTAAAATCGGGACGGTAATGCATGGCTGCTACAAATATCGATTGTGAGGTGCTGGTGATGCTTTCATTCCCCCCCCCCCCCCCCCCAAAAAAGGCGAGGGGGGGTCCCGGATACGCCACCGAATCACATGTACACGACGTCATAATAGCGCCCTCGTCGGCTTGTTGGCCCATAAAGGAACTGAAAATGCTTTTGATCAATCACGGCTCTAGTTTTGTTTTGTTTTGTTTTGGGTTTTTTTGACCCCCCCCCCCGGCCCCCCCTCCATTTTTTTTTGTAAAATATATATTTTATTGGTCTTGCAGTATGAGTTGCTGTAGGCAGGGCGTAGGGGCGTGGGGATTTTTTTTTTGGGGGGGGGGGGAGTGACAAAACATTTGCCGACAGACTAGACCCAGGAAATTTTGTTTCCGCCAACGGGCGCCGCAAAATCAACAAAAGTGGGTGGGGTTGTGTATCTAGCGTGGGCTTTGTTTGGGGCAGACAAAAAGTACACTATCGGACAGTAGGGGGCCAAGGGCGGATCAAGAACACAATTTTTTGAGGGGCTAAAAAAAAATGTTGGTCCTCCAAACAGTGGGTCCCAAAAATTACGGCGTGGGGTTGGGGGCCCGCTTGAGGGCCTCTGGGAAAAAAATGGATTCTAGATGCTCTGTGGTGCGATTTGAGGCAATTTCTGGCCACTTTAACCATTTTTTTTTGAGGAAAAGATGGTGGTGTACGCAGTGCCTGCCTTTATTGCGACGTCACTTAATTTTTTTTTTTTTTAATGGGTTCGGTTTTTTTTGGGGGGGGGGGCATGGCCCCCGTTGCCCCCCCCCCCCCCTAATCCGCCCTTGTAGGGGCGCTATTTGTTGCTGCATATTTTACTGACAGACAAACAATGTTGCCGTCAGTACGACGATTTTCCCCACAGAAAATATTAAAATAGGGTTGGGGGACCAACTCCCACACCCTTCATTATTCTGCAGCTAGCGTTGAGCCTGATAATTTCACAGTGAACGTCACACCTTTTATGCGGCTCTAAAGGCACAGCTTGGCTCAAAATTCTAATAGGCCTACATGTACTTCTAGTCAAGGCTAAAAACAGTTACCGCGTCATGTACACAAGCGGGGTATTCAATGTTTTCTCTGCAAATGACCGACACTGTTGGTTTCCTGTGACGTAGTAGGCCTGCAATAAGGCCAATCTTAAACATGACATTGTTGACAAATCTAACCGAAGGTGCACCTTTATAATTTCTGTAGCCTCTCATGATTTTTGCGTTTTTTACATTAGGCCTACCTAATGATGTTTCAGCAGATTTTAAGCAGTGTTTTCCCCTCAAGGTCCGACGTATTAATTTGTCCAACCATTTGCCCTCATTCCAAAATAATTTCCATATTTTTCGCAACCCACCTCCAAAAAAGTGATGCTAAACAGAAAGGCAAAAAGTGCAACATCGATCCCAGGGACTACTTCCTTCCCCCTGACTCCCTCTCTTCGGGATTTGCCTTTCATCATATTTTGTAGGACTAATAATGTATGTTGGATGTGTAAGATTATGATCACATTGGAACTTTGGCGATGTGTTTTCATGACCAATTCTTAAGTCTGTATCCTACACGCCGTATTAAAAGGTGACTCGCAAGCAGTGCTGTAAAGGCACCTGACTATGTCCACATGCACCTTATGAGTGCAACAGTGCAAAAAATCCCCATAGCCACTATAGTGCTAAATGCCCATACTTCAAAATTCTTTTAAAAATACTCAGAACTCTCACAGGTATTTAAGCTGCACAGAAAAATGATGATCGACATGTCATCTTTCAATTTCTTTTCATTTTTTGGTGGGTTGACGATTGACTTTTCGAGAAATTCTCGCCCAAAGAAGACGACCCCTATTTTCCCCAAAGCGGAACGGTAGCCATCTTGAAAAACGATCCCTCAACAACATGGCAAAATAGCGCCACTTTCGAGCCCAATTGTATCAAAAATGCTGAGAATTGGAAGCCCCGAGTCCGGGCCAGAGGTTCATTGCCATATCTCTTCAATTCCCCAATGTTATGGCTCTCAGAACTCTCTAATATAGAATATTTTGAGGGTATAACTTTTATTCATGAGCTCGGCGGATGGGTTTAGGCCTATTTACAGGTGTGCACCCTTATTCAATTATCAAAGTTTTTATGTTTAAAATAATCCAGTACCAAAGCAGGAGAGCACCTAGTGATAGCGTACTGCTCGACGCCAGCTATAGGGAGACGAGGTTGCGTAATATGTAATTTTGACCCATTAATATCGCTGAGGTTAACGGCGCGTTGCTTGTGGCTCATTGGAATCAATATGGCGTTTCCTTGGTTACATCATTCAGTGTCGTATATCACACACAGTGCAGGCAAACACGACCGTGTGCAATGCCGGCTGATAGCTGGCGGCTGGTAGTAACCTCGTTAGTGTAAAATTCTGCGCTGGATTTATGATCGAGATCGTTAGAATGAAAGGGTTCATGGTATTTTTTTTTTTTAATGCAATTCATTAAAAACACATTTTCATTTAACCCAGTGCTCAATCTTCAAATTCCCAGTTTCAAAAAGTGTTTTATGCCTTTTGTGTCATGGTAATTGGTATATTGTTTCAGCAAATAACAGTAAACGTAATATAGACAAATGATTTCAATATGTTTCTAGGTCGATTGAGGCATCCCATTATCTTTCTTTGGTTCTTATTTCCGACCTACGCATTTTGGGCTCCCGACCTGAGAAAAAAACAAACTTTTTTTATTACCGCCGACCCCATTCTAGGATCCCATTCACACACAAAAAAATTAACAAATGAAAAAAATAATGAATATTAAATTCAGGCAATCAGTCTCTTTGTTATTTGAAAAGCTATTTAAAATGAATAATAGATTTTTACGCGTATAGTATAGCCATTGTTTGTAGTATTCGTTCTCTGTACTGGTACTCAAGTACTACTCGGGTACCTTTTTTTTTTTTTTTAGTGTACTCGTACTCGTACTCGAAAGTCAAAGTACTCGTACTCGAAATGACGGTACTCGTACTCGGGCAGCAAA